TTTGAACGCTTAGTAGTAACTGTGCAGGATTGGTTAAAAAGGCTTTTACTTCTGAAAGTTTATCGTCTGCACAAGGAAAATGATTCTTAAACGAAAACGTTCTTTAAGATAGTAAATTAAACATAGTGGTTTTCGTCTGAAAATAGTTATAATGGACAATAAGCATTGGACTAAATTTTTAGTGTCTTAAATCAACTAAGTGAGAGTGCGTATGAAACATGTAAAAATAGTGCAAGTATTTTTATACTAGTTTGCTCAAACTGAGCTACATCCAGTCTCCTTCAATTGAAGGGTTCCACTAGATATTCAATGAAGTACAAATATTATTTATTCAGCCTATTCAGGCTCGTAGTGAGTATTATAGACCACCCAGGTCATGACCACTCCTTGTTGGCTAACTTCACTCATTGGTCCTAGTATTCTTTAATGAGCCTCTTCAGGCTAGTAGTCAGTATTCTAGACCACCCAAGTCACGACCACTCCTGGTCCCAAGAATTATCAACCACTTCTGGCTCCTCAACTTCACTCGCTGATGCTAGTATTCTTTGTTCAGCCACTTCTAGCTCTCAGTGAGTATTATCAACCAACTCCTGGCCTGCTAACTTCACCATTAACGCTAGTATTCTTTGTTTAGCCACTTCTGGTTCTCAGTGAGTATTTTCGACCAACTCCTGGCCAGCTAGCTTCACCACTAGCGCTAGTATTCTTTGTTCAGGCACTTCTAGCTCGCAGTGAGTATTCTTTGACAAGCCTCTCCAGACTTTTAAAAGTATTATTTCCCTAACCTTTTCAGGATTTACATATGATAACTTAGTCGATTTGGTTTGAGTGTTTGGTTTACTCTCACAGAGAGGATACAAATAATGTTTACACTCACTAAGGTATGCACCCTTAGTCTTACAAGGATTGAGTGTGTGGTTTACTCTCATAGAGAGGATACAAAGATTTCTACACTTACTAAGGTTCGCGTTCCTAAGTTACACTTAGAACTCCTTAGTCTATAGAGATAAATACACTATGGTAGATTTGAAAGTATACGCTCTTTCTCTTATTTCATTGATTTGTGGGCTGGATATCACTCTTTGTTAATGCCAAGGCCAACCTTTTAAGTTTTGAAGTAGTGATGTATATATAGTCTTGTAGAATTTTCCCGCTGCAAGTGTCCGTTGAAGCAGAATATAGTCGTTCATGACTAGTTCGATCTTCTCATTTAATGCTTAAATTAAATGTTGCTTCCTTTTCATAGACATTGCGTGAAGTCTTCTTTGCTTTGTTAGCAGCAGTGTCTGAGTTTAGTAGAGACCTAGGAACTTTTTTGTCCTTTTTCGGTCACGTAGATGTAGAGCGTTGTCCTTAGATGAAAAAGTAATGTACTTTTTCTAACACATGCATGCTTTTGCTTTTGCATGCTTTTCTTCTTCTTCTCTTCCTTTGATCATGCTATCATGTTAAGGGCATTTAAATGATCGTAGACGATGCTTTAATTTTTCCTTTAAGACTTGATTCTTCATAGGCTTGCGTGACAGTCTTCGTCTGCATCTGATAGTCTTACGCGTCTCAAGACTTGACCTTCGTCTGAGCATTTGACATTGATGCTTTGACTTTATTTTAGTCTTGATCAATGCTCCGTCTAATTTCTTATGTTGCACTTGAGGTTGTCCTTGACACACCTTCATCTGACATTAGGCTCGTAGTCGTCTGGTGAACATACCATACTTTATCTATTCAGTTTGCTTGATTTGTCTGATTCTCATTATGTGCTTTGCCTTGAATGTTCTTCATCTGAGTTGACCACTTGGCTTCATCTAATATTTAGCGCTAGTATTCTTTGTTCAGGCACTTCTAGCTCGCAGTGAGTATTCTTTGACAAGCCTCTCCAGACTTTTAAAAGTATTATTTCCCTAACCTTTTCAGGATTTACATATGATAACACAGAGTCCTAGGAAACTTCTATCCTTTTTTGACCCTATAGTTGTGGAGCTTTTGTCCTTGCCTGAAAAAGTGATGTACTTTTTCTGACATATGCATGATTTAGCATTTGAGCATGCTCTTCTCCTTTCTTCTTCTTTTCTAATAATTCAAATGACTTCGTGCATTCTTCTATGAGTGTAGACGATATTCAAAGCTTGATTTCTCAAGTGATTGCGTGTCATTCTTCGTTTGTGTCTGGTAGTCGACATTTAGTTCAATACTTTGACCTCCATCTAATCGTCAGCAATTTGACTTTTCTTTTCGTCTTGGTCAACCTTGTATATGGTCAGACTTTCCATTTCTTCTAGAGTTTCTTCTTGGTCGTTGATCATCTTCTGTCTAAGCCTTTATGTGCTTATGTTGGCCTTTTATCTTGTACAGTCTGATGCTTATGCCTCTGCGTCATTTTACCTGTTCTTATGTCTTTCTGAAACACTAACTCACTTGTTAGAGATAACAAAATATATTATATTTGTCTCACTCAAAACCTTTTTGGGAATTTCTTCGTCTGACTTAACAGCGGGTCCATGGAAAGCTGAGACGCCATCAAGTCGAACAGTCAATCCAACTTGTTGTCTAGATCTACTTTGAATTTGTTGAATGTCTCTATAGAGACATATTGTTGTGCTGGTTCAGATGCAGCTAGAAGTTCCTCAAGAGGGGCAGATGCTGAAATTGGCTCAAGGCTCAGACATGGTTGATTCAGACTGTGTCATTTCAGAAGAAGTATCCCAAGGCATAGGCATGCCTGGTTTCCATGATGGAATGTCCTTGCACCAGTCATAGATAGGAGCTTTATACCATGTGTTTATAACAACCTTCCATTTCATCCTTATACAGATCTAAATTGAAGAGCACGGAATGGATGAAGTATTCCTTGCTGAGAGCGTTCAGGTCTAGCTCACATCTTTTCTTTTGAAGAAAGGCGACTAATATGTCATTGAAATTCATCAGTTTGCATGGGGTCATCCATCAATACCCACGCAGTATGAGACTAAAAGTGATTTTTGTAAAAAAAAAAAAAAAAAAAGGTAAGATACTAAAACCAAAACTTTAAAAATAAATAAATCAAATGACTATCATGTCACACTAGTTAATAATTTCACAATTGAAGTGACTATCATGTCATCACTTAAAGATAGAAGTTGATGGTAGGAAACCAAAACTTTTAATGAAGGAAAAGTTTAGAAATTAAGATTGATAAAAAAAATTAAAAACTAAAAGTAAAATTTATTTTTTAAGGAATAAAAAACACATTTAACACTAATTTAATTAAAAAACGAAAACCCTCTCAAAAAAATTAAAAAACAAAAAATGTACCACAAAATTATATTTTAAACTATATTATACATATTTATCATTAATTTGTATTATAATAACATATATTATATTTTTATTTTTAAATAATTTTATAAATTAATTCTTTTAAAAAACTTATATTTAATGT